ATCAATGATTTACCATATCTACATTATAAACAATTATAGGTATAAATAACCTGAAAATCAACATTAGAACACAACATTTATGAAAATTTTTGATGATACAAAATATAAATGTAAAGTTCAAATCATAGGTTTACAATATAAACACAATTGCTGGAGAATTTAAATGAGACATTTACTTTTGGAATAATATAAAAAAGTACAAGTAAATAATAGGCAATTGTGTCAGAATACACTACAAGGAAAGAATAAGTATAACGGACAAATAGGAACTGAAATGAAAAATGTAAGTATTTACACAAGAATATGATGCACATAGCAGCTTCAGTACATTCTGAATCATTCACTATACTTATATCAAGATCATGTGAGACTGTAGTATACATTTGACGATTTCCATTTAGCATTGATCTGTCATCACGTTATTCAAAGAGAACTATAACTAATTGAAAATGAATTAAAATCCGATTGTAATTGTAAAATAAAAATAATTAAATGAATAAATTTTAAATATATTACTAAAATTTAAACATTATGATCAAACAATGAATGAATAAAAGTGAAAAAAAGATTGATGGCGTAAAACAATTTTGTCCTTGAATATTTTTTAGCATTTATGAAAAACACAATAAATTAAATCCTGGATATGGACATCTATGACAAAATGTTGCAACACAAGGTTGTTTCGGATATACAAACTGACAAATTTCCTTTAGTCGCAATTTTATATATAAATAAGTTAAAAAGCTTGATACATAAAGATAAAATAGAATAAAAGCTAACAAAGACACTGTTAGTAGAAAATCAAACTATTCAATGTGATTGAACAAATAATCTATTTAACAAGTAATGAATTTATAACGAGTAAATTACAAGATTTGGAGGCATCAAATAGATGACGAGAAGATTGAACAGATAGATTTTGAAGAACAATGAGTAAACTTACTGCAATATTTACCATGCTATGCACCACAATCGATACAAAGACATGGTAATGTTTACGATAGAAACTTACTTTCAACAAGTAAATTCAAAACACGTTTCTATACAAGAATGAATTCAATAACACATATGTTTCGGGAATTATGTCGACCTAGCGCTAAACCTGTTTCATACTATAAAGAGCGGCTAAAGACATATCAACAAGCATATGTAACGTTCGTTTCAAAATAAAGAAAATGGTTTTCTGGCTGTTTCAGAATGATGCGAACATAAAAGAGGCAGCAAGTTTTTTTTCTCGGAAAGACTTGTTGTAAGCTTTATTCAATAACAAAGACTGTTTCTTCGTAAGCTAAAATAACTGCAGTTTTCAAGTGGTTTTCAAGTGGCAGGAAAGGATAAGAATATTAACATGCTACCATCAGAAATGGATAAGTTAGGACTTTGTCAAATCTCAAGGTAAGATACATCCCGAAAGAAATAGTTTCTATTTACTTTTCTTGTGTTTGTTCTCCTGTATCATATATACTATGTGGACTAGTATCTGTCTCATCATAAACAATATTTAATTTGTAAAAGAGTTCTTCCTAAAAGAGTTCTTTGTTTGAGTCAAGTGTGCTATCTAACTGCTATCTATTACAACATAGCGAATTCTTCAACAAATTACTCTACAACGATGTTGGGACAAAATCTATCAGAATAGTTCTATAAAAAATTATAATCAACTGACCAGTTATTTTAAAAATGAGAACACTCTGTTCATAAATTCATGCACATTTAAAGCTTGGTAGCGAAATCTTCGTTTAAATGAAGCCATGTTCCAACATTATACTAAAATACATAGTTGTGTAATTACCATTGATGTTTTGTTCACTTCTTATACGAGCTGTGTCAATTTCAGGCCTCGAGTTTTCAAAAGTTCAACGAGACCTGAGAGTGGGCACAGCCAGCATAAGGAAACGTTAATATAGTTGTTGTAAAACTTCATCTATTCTCGTGAAATTTTTTGTTCTGTTTGTTAACCTTCAAATAGTTGATACTTATTTTGTGTAAATGATCCTTTTACGTGTTAAGCATTATAATATAGAATGATTTTATTCTATTTATACTGTTAAGATTTTTTTTTGTACACAATCATTACCTTTCACAGAATAATGGCCACTCTCCTAAATAAATCAGGAGTACTATCTGACAAATTACAAAGCATAATAGATATTATATCAATAGTGTATGATACTTTCGAGCTGAGACAGCCTTTAATTTACGCAGAATAGCCCAGCAAAACTCCTAATCACAGCTATTTTCACATAGAGTATTATTTTCCACTTGCTTAATCAAAAACGCAAAAAAGATGTACAAAGACTATTCATGAATTTTTGATATGCCTAGTACAATGTGTACAATCAATAAAAATATGCAGTAATAAAGAAAGCGATACTAACAGAAGAAAAAAAAGAAAACGGAATAATATTTTTACTCAAAAGATAAATTAATTTTGTAAACTGTTATGATGTTTCTAATCTTCAATTATTACTATTAATAACATCTACGGGTATTAAACATCTAAGGGTATTATATAGGGTGGTAAATAATATTATTCAAGAGGGGTACAGCTCAAAGGACAAATGATATCAAAACGAATTATATATCAAATGAAAGCTCATCGAAAATGGGATTGATGAGTATAATTGATATTCTGTATGATGATTATTGGAGGTAGAATTATGAAAGTTTCTGTCAGGTGCGTCAGTTATGGGTGTAGTGCTGCTTTCAGTAAAAGTCCCATAACTTCGTCAGAATAAAAGCTTTTTCTATTAGGTCTATTTTGTTTTGATCAGAAATGGTTGCTCTTCACTACTTAACTGCAAAATCAAAACTTCGAACACGTTTTCCGTTTCTTGCTTGAACACGTTGAAAACGGGGAGAAATTTTTGAAATTTCGGTTTACAGCACACCATCTGCTTTAAAACTTCTTTTTACAGACCACGAGAAAGAGCATATTCAAAAGTACAAAATAGAATCTAGTGCTCACTTATGGTACACTTTTTGCGGAAATGATAGCAGAATAAAATAGTTCAAGGCGAAAAAAATACCAAATATACGAAGTTTTCCGTTTTTTCGCTTGTCGTATAATTTACGTAGTTCTCTTGATTGAAGTTCTAAAACTAAGTTTGTGTATGAATTTGTAGAGTATTTCGTGGTGCATCTTTTAAAAAATAACACTAATCTTAGGATCCTAAAGGGATACGAGAAAAAGAGAAAGTACTAAGAGGCTCATTCATTATGACGGACCCGACAGAAACTTCCATAATTCTACAGCCAATAATCATCATTATACTCATCAATCCCATTGTTAATGAGCTTTCATTTGGTATATAATTCGTTTTGACATCATTTGTCCTTTGAGCTGTACCCCCGTTGAATAATATTATTTACCACCCTGTACTTGTAAGGTTTTAAATGCACTACGCAAAGATAAATACTACTATTTCAATAAAATTAAACCACAATTCTCTGACTTTAAAAAGTTTTGGACTAGTTTAAATAGATTTAGAAAGAGTTTTGCGGATTATCCTAGTCGGTTGGAAAATGGTACTGTTTATGCATGCACAGATACTGAGAAAGCAGAAATGTTTTCAAAGTTTTTTGCTAGTTGTTACCAGTCGCCTTCTTCATCCGCTACTAGCACCGTTACTACTAATAATCACTTACAGAACAGCACGAACCTTCCTTTAGAGTCTGTTTCATTTACAGTTTCTGACGTTAACAGTATGATTAAAGAATAAAAATTCTGTAGGAATTGACGATATTCATATTAAATTTTTGAGGCTCTGTTCTGACGTGATCTCACCACAACTCCATCATTTATTTCATTCTTCAATTAAAAACGGAGGTTTTCCGAAAACATGGAACAAAGCCTTAATGAGAGCTATACACAAGAAAGGATCGCATAGTCAATGTTCTAAAGACAGACCAATTTCTTTACTATCAAACATAAGTAAAAGTTTTGAGTTATTGGCACAAATCTCTAGTCAAACATTTAAATAAAATTCCTTTTTTCACATTTACCCAATTTAGTAAAATTTAGGAAAATTCCCATTTTCTATATATAGTCAGTAGTCACATATACTACTTCTTTTTCTAGTCAACGACCGACGTCCACTCTCTTTCTGTATTGTCATCATATAAATAGTCATTGTTCTCTCTTCTTTTTGTGCTTGAAAAATTTTCGTTTTCTCTTCTTCATATATAAAAAGAGTGTGTTTTTTACTCCACTTCAGTCGTTTCTTTTTCCTGTTCGATATCACTACAAAAGGGTTAGTAAAAACATGGGAGTGGCTCACAAATTTTCTTTCTCACCGAAATACTGTGCGCATGTGAGTAGTGTCGGTAGCACAAGAAAAATATTTTTTCCAAATTGCAAAACAAAAGACGTTCGGATATAAAGTTTATTTGTTCTATAGGAGCTGTATAAAATGCAGTCACATCTCTAACAAAGTTGTAGCATTTTAGCTGCTACAACTTTGTACGCACCTAAGAACGAACTATGCAGGCTTTTCCCTGGTTCACAAGATAAATGATCTTGGCCAAGACAAAGCACTGAAATGCCTCATTTTCATCTCAATTTTAAAAAGAGATGTTTCTCTACAACTTTTTCAAGAACACTATACGCGTCGAATGTTTACCTCATCTGTCCGTATAAGATCCAACTTTTGTTTTGCATGTTATTCAATTGATCTTTGACGACTTTCTTAAAATTAATTAATTAATTGATTGATCCTTTAATGGATTATTATGAGGATGGAACAGTGTCTCTGGAACATGTGGACTTGACTGAGACAGTCTGTTTGTGATATGTACTGCATATAAGAAGTTAAATTACCAAGTAAAGCAAGAAAATAACATTGACTTTATTTTGTTTTATTTCCTCCTGAAAATTGACACTAAAACGTTGGTGTCAATTTCTATGGAAAGAAGGAAGGAAATGGCAACTGAGAACATCATCAGAATCTTTTAGGCTGTGTTCGTTTTCTTTTTTTAGTTGTTTCTGTTGCCTGTCAGTTATGAGTGCTGCAAAAAAGCTACGATTAGATGTGGGAGTGACAACAGCGGAATGCTCGAACTATGAAAACGAAATACACGAAAAATTGAAGAATAACTATTCACAACAATCGTATACGCCAACGATCGAAACGATTTCTAAGACAGATACATTTTTACGATCGCCACTAGTAGCACCATTAACCACTGCTTCATCTGCAAATACATCGTTACACGACAACAATCAGAATACTTCTACACACAATATAGCGAAGCGATACCGAGTCTTTGATCGTGAAAAAGTAAATCTTGAATCCCATCAGTTAGTATGGTTTGGTCTAAATGTCGATAGAAATGAGAAAAGTGACACTATAGTTACACTTGAAGGTCTAAGAAAGATTGTTGATTATACAAAAATATTTGACGACGTTGAACAATGTCAACAGTACATAGAACAAACTAAGGATACAATTACATTTTTAGTCACGTCTGACCACCGAGGCGAACAGCTGGTATCTCGCGTTCACAATCTCAATCGAGTTTCATCGATCTATATTTATTGTTTGAACAAAGAATATCATCAGAAATGGGCTTCAAATTATTCAAAGGTAAGCAAGGTATGTTCAGTGATGTTAGTAAATCAGCACATGTTCGATATTAAAATTTTTCATGGTAGGGATTCACAGAGACTAGTATTTTCGTTAGGGTGGCAAAAGACAGAGACTTCGTCTTAAAAAGACTTTTAATATACGTCTATTCGATTGTCTTATTTGAGACATGAAAAGGTGTAAATGTATTGAGCGAGTCTAAAGAATCTAAAATAGGGCTTATTAGCTTGGATCTCTTCAAGGTTTAAATATGAAACTTTCCCAATGCATCCTACGTTGCGTTTGTGAAGGCTGTTTTCTCGAACTTGGACGGATTTCTAGTTTGGGCTTGTAAGAAAGTGTAGAGGTTACCTCACCTCTTCATGGCGTTTCTAAGTTCTAGGAATTATATTTTCAAGTTCACTGGAACTTCTATGTTGCGTTTGTATGCATTCAGAAGACGGATTTCAGCAGACTTTTTGCCGTGTGTAAACTTTTATATTCTTCTTTTTACATTTCACATAAAACTGTATAAAATATTGCCATTTTACAAAATGCAATTTAATATTCAATGCCGCAATAACTATAATACTTACAGCAAAGCATAGTTATCTTGTTGTGTTGCAAATCGAATACATATATTTTTTTAGAAAGGTACCTGTGTTTCGCAGGTGGCTTGTTTTTAGGCTTTGTAAGTTACTGGCTCACTGGAAAACCATTAGGTTTTTGCCTAGAGAAGTGGTAAGTAACTTGAATTCCTCAATTCCCTTGGTCCCAGACTGGAAGCGAAGCGCCGTTTTTAGAGCACGATCATCGATAATAGGTATAACTCTGAATGCTGATATTTTAACGTTCTTACTAACCTCCTGTACAGATCAATTCAAAAGTTTCCTGATAACTTTGAAACCCTCACCCTCACGCCTCTGCAGAAGGCTTTTTTAAATTTTTACTGTTTTAGCCCCGCAGCTTAGAGCTAGCCTTTCGTTTTTTACACGTTTTTCTGATTTCATGCTGATCGTACATACATATGTCATCTAGTTTTTTACTTAATATTAGATTTTTTAATTTAGTTAATTAACCATCATTTCATTTCACTTAATATTTATCCTACTTCTAGGGATTCTGATCTATCATTGTTTGTTTTTCTTTCCTTGACTAATTAAAAATTGGTCACATTCATAGTTTTTCCGAAATGGTTTCAAAATTAGAAACATATATATACGCAATTATTTTTCTAGGCCTATCCTTCTAGTTGAATAAATTTTGTCTAGTCAAAATGAGAAGTGCGTCAATTTAAAAATAAAAGATTCAATTTTATTAAGTCTCTACTTTTATCTGACACATTTGTTCTTCGATTTTCATATAGATTAAACAAGTACGCACAAACATTGACCAATTGTTAAATGATCTAGCACAAGATGTTCAGGAATATTTAAAACATGAAAACGACGGAATTTTTAGATGTACCGGAAGACAAGGTGATACTACAGGTGGATTTCTGTCTTTATTCGTGGAGCTTGTTGATATTTTGTGTTATTTACCATATCCAGAAGATTGTCGATGTAAATTGATTGTTTCACTAAAAGATTATTATAGTGGTAAAGAAGTAGAATTAAAAGTTCTGCAAGAATTTGAAAGCAACTATTCATCAGACAAAGCTATTTGGTGGTACACACGTGACAAATTTCTCTATCGTTTAATAAATCGGGCCTTACGGCAAAATAATATTAGACTTTTGTTTTTATTCGGATTCTTTATACAAGATATGTATCGACAATTAAAACGTGAACATGAACGATCTAAATTACAACATATAGATAATCCATTAAAAGTATACCGAGGACAATTTATGTCACGCGGTGAAATTAACAAGATTAAAAAATGCGGTATCGTCCCGATTCGTCGACAAATCGGACACTTCAAAGAATATACATCAAAGAATTTCAAAGGCGGGAGGGGCGGTGTGAGAGTGAGTGTCGACGAATCGGGACTGAATCAAAAATGCGACTACGAGACAGATTACTCAATTGTAAACAATTGTTTCTTTTCAACGACCATTGATCGTTCTATAGCATTATTGTATACAAAACCATCACAGCCTGACGATGAAGTTCAGAGTGTTTTATTTGAAATTGAAATCGATGTTCGACGAGAGTCTCGCCCCTATGCTAACATTTCAGGTTTGAGCAACTTTCCAGATGAATGTGAAATATTATTCATGATTACAACACGATTTGATATCGAATCAAACGATGTTTATTACGATAAAAATGAAAAGATTTGGATGGCTAAACTGAAATTAGTAAATGATGATCTTATAAAAGACGATCGAGATTTTGAAAGTGCGAGCAAGAGAAAAACAGTGAAAAACTGTGTCAGTGTACTTCATGATGTTCTTTACAGGGAGTCATCTGAGATCGCAATCACAATATTCAATGAATTGATTGATTTATATCCATCAGAAAAATGGGTTTTTGACATGAAAAATTATTACCTTGGTTGCTATCCTGAAAAGCATCTAGAAGAAATCTACACTTCAGCATTATCAACTCGCGATGAAGTATTGACAATGTGGTTTGAATACATAAACGATGATGAATTAAATTGCTCCGTTGATATTGGTAAAATCTTTAAAGGTATTGGTGACTGTTACCCAGATGAATTAGATGATCACAATATGGCTATGAAACATTATGATCTAGCTATCAATTATTATCAATCAGCAATTCAAAAAACTGCTACGGATTATGAAAAAATAGATATACTCAATTTGTTGAGTTATGTGTACACAAGCAAAATGGAAATCAGCATTGATAAGAATGAACAAACACAAAATTGTTTAATGGCCATTAAACACATAGAACTAAGTGTTCAAAACTTGTTAAAATATTATTCATCTAATTATTACATCGTTGCCACTCGTATTGAAGAAATAGCTAATCTTTATCAATTGATATTTAAATATGATGACGCATTAACTAACTATAAAAAAGCTCTCGAAATTTATACGCAACAATTTGAACCAAGTTTATATCGGATTGAACATACTTCTCAGAAAATAATTAAAATCTTTTATGATCATAAACATGACTATAATTCAGCACTTAGATACCAGTTAATGAAACATGAATATACATTAAAAGGCGATGTACCAGAATCAACGTTTGAAATTCGTGTCAAGAGAAAAGAAATAGTTAAAAGTCACGTCAAATTAGCTGATATTTATAGAGCATTACATCAATATGATTCAGCTAACGAACATTTGATGATAGTAACGAAATTAAATCAGGAATCTGAATTATTCGATAAAGAAGAAGCTGCATCTGTTGAACCAGGTAAATATATTGTATGCACAAACGGCCCATTTTTTGGTTTAAAAAAGCTTGTTCCAGCAACGACAAAGAATTTATATCAGGAAACCACCAAAAATGGCTCGCAGAGTAGCATAGTGCACTACCAGATGGACACTTTGCCAAAAACGAAAGGGTTTTTTCGGCTTTAAATAGCGGTAAATATATTGTGTGTACAGGCGGCCTATTTATTGGTTTAAAAAAGCTCGTTCCAGACACTAAGATTCATGGATAACACTTACGAGGGAACCTTTCGAGGTGATTAAAAGCTTTTTGATCGACATCTAGTGTGTTATAGGTTATCGACCATGCTGATTCCGAATATGATCATGGGACTGGCCCATAGCTCTCGAAGATCCAGTCTTCTGGAAAACCAGTTTTTCAGAAATGCCCAAAAATAACCCAAGCCTTTCTTAATAATGCAGGATTGTAGCGCGCAAATTTCTAATTAAAATGATACATCCCCCAGCTCTACACGACCTTTCTTTGCAAAGTTATAGAATTTATAAGAACAGCCTTAAATTGTTCATTGTCAGCTCAAAGCTACAGAAATCAGAAGGAAAGAATTAATTTAGGGCTCTTCTTATAAATTCTATAACTTTGCAAAGAAAGGTCGTGTAGAGCTGGGGGATG